AAGAGTGAAACTCCGTCTCAAAAAAAAAAAAAAAAACACTGGGCATTTGAATGAACACATGTATAATGCTGTCTGTGTTTACAGTAATCAAGTTGCGGACTGGGAGAGTGGTTTTGTTTTGTTTTTTAAGAGTAGTCTCTTCTGGTTTGGCGCAGTGGCTTGTGCCTGTAATCCTAGCACTTTCAGAGGCTGAGGCGGGAGGATCACTTGAACTCTCAGGAGTTTGAGAGCCTGGGCAACAAAGTAAGATCTCATGTCTGCATTTTTTTTTTAGAGTAAAAAATTTTTAAACAATACTCTGTTCTGTCACGTGTAATCTCAAATTTCACCAAACTATAAAATTTAGTTGCTAAACCTCCTGACTTCTAACAATACAAATCAGCTTCTGTGGTATGACACGTTCTCTTCTTCCCTCCTAGGTCTTTCAGAGCCTTGAAGATCACCATTTGGAAGTGGTGGCGTTTTTCAGGGAAAATGGCTTTCATGGCCTTCTTGCCCATGACTCCGAGTATGCTCTCTACAATATTCCCTCTTACTACAGTTCCCATGCTCTGAAATTGAGCTGGAATGGGAAGAACCTCACTACCAACCAGTTCCTGATGCAAGAAGTGGCCAAGCAGCTGGGCCTGAAGAGGGTGAATTTTCCCATATTTGCTGCACTGCTAGGTAGGTCATCCACAGAAGAGAATGCAGTGATTGGTAATTTCCTCTTCGTGGGGTAAGAGATGAGGACTAAAGTGATTTAGCCTGTCATCATTAAATTTGTCTTCTTAAAGTCCTCATGCTAAACCCTGTGCTAGGGAGAACTCAGCATGGTTTTGGGTTTCTTGGTAGACCACACTAAAACTCCGCGTGTTTGGTTTGTGGGTTGCTACAGGTTATTCCAGAACATTATTTAGATTCCTGTAAACCTTATTTTGTTACATTTTATAACTCTTTTATGCTGAGTATTCTCAAGCTAAATGTTTTATTAACCCTAGACAACTTTGGTTCCCCACACAGAGCATCAGCATTTCTTCCCCAGTGTCTAAATTGAGATCAGAAAGACAAATTGTTGATTATGGTTTTCTCTTTGTTTCTTTTGCGCTAATATTTTATGAAAATTTCCAAATATACAGCAAAATTGAAAAAGAGTTTTGCAGTAAGAACCCTATATCTACCATTTATATTCTGCCGTTAACATTTTACTATAATTGCCATATCATGTATCTGTCCATTCCTCTACCCATCCATCAGTCTATCTCTTATTTTATTTATTTACCTATTTAGTTTTTTTTAGATGGAGTCTCGCCCTGTCACCCAGCCTGGAGTGCGGTGGTGCGATGTCAGCTCACTGCAGTCTCCACCTCCCGAGTTCAAGCGATTCTCTGGCCCAGCCTCCCGAGTAGCTAGGACTACAAGCACTCGACACCACGCCCAGCTAATTTTTGTATTTTTAGTAGAGACGGGGTTTCATCATATTGGCCAGGCTGATCTTGAACTCCTGACCTTGTGATCTGCCCACCTTGGCTTCCCAAAGTGCTAGGATTACAGGCGTGAGCCACCGTACCCAGCCTATTTTATTTTATTTTATTTTATTTTCAAGACAGAGTCTCGCTCTGTTGCCCAGGCTAGAGTATAGTAGCATGATCTCAGCTCACTGCAACTTTCACCTCCTGGGTTCAAGCGATTCTCCTGCCTCAGCCTCCCGAGTAGCTGGGATTACAGGCACCCACCACCATGCCCAGCTTATTTTTACATTTTTAGTAGAGACGGGGTTTCACCATGTTGGTCAGGCTGGTCTTGAATTCCTGACCTCAAGTAGTCTACCCACCTCAGCCTCCCAAAGTACAGAGAATAACAGGCATGAGCCACTGCGTCCAGCCCAATCTATCTCTTAAAGATGTATTTCAGAGTAAATTGCAGAGAGTTGATTATGTTTTGAATTTGTTTTTCAAGTACTTAGCACATGAAGGTTAATATCCTGTCTCAGATGTGACCTTTGCTCTGTGATCTCAAAGGACATGAGTTTGGATAATACAATGGGGTCAGCACAAGTTTTGGAATTAGGCCATTGGCAAATCACTGAAGTGACGTCTCCCTGGTTTCAGTTTCCTCATCTGTGAAATGTGGATAATAATACCTCATGGTTTTCTTCATAAAGTGAAATGAAATAAGCTGTACAAAATGCCCAGCACTTACTAGGCAGTTAGTAATTGGTGGCTGCTATTACAGCAGGCAACATGACTTAGGGGAGAAGTCATTAGCATGGGCTTTGGAGTTAGATTCCTAGCTTTTTATCTTGGTGTGTGTACCTATTGGCCACACCACATTGGGCCAAGTCACCAAACTTGTCCGAATCTCAGTTTCCTTATCTGTAAAATGGCAATGATATTACCATACATAGTCATTATAAAGATGATACATATAATACACATGAGACATATTAGGTAGCCAACACAGAGTTACTGTATCACATTAAGAATATAGACCTATGTGAATTATTTGATCATTTTCTCTCCCAGGACCCCTCTCATGGCCTGGAGGTTCTAAGAAAACATTTGTGCAGTCAATAAATGACAAATGTTCTTTATAGGTAACCACATCCTCCCAGATGAGGACCTGGCTGCTTTTCACTGGAGCCTTTTGGGACCAGAACATCCTCTTGCATCACTTAAGGTAATGTTCCCTATTTCTTGCCTATACAGATTCGGGGATATGAGATTTTGATTGGAGTTTTGATGGAATAATTGTCTTACATTAGATTTAAAATATTTCACATACATACAGAAGAAAAAAAAACTGGTTATGGCCAGGTGCGGTGGTTCACACCTGTAATCCCAGCACTTTGCGAGGCGGAGGCGGGTGAATCACATGTGGTCAGGAGTTCAGGAACAGTCTGGCCAACATGGTAAAACCCCATTTCTACTAAAAATACAAAAATTAGTCGAACATGATGGCAGGCACATGGAGTCCCAGCTACTCAGGAGACTGAGGCAGGAGAATTGCTTGATCCCAGGTGGCGGAGGTTGCAGTGAGCCAATATCACGCCACTGCACCCCAGCCTGGGCAACAAAGCGAGACTCCATCTAAAAAAATAAATAAATAAAAAAAATTGGTTATTATCAATACTGTTATTATCTCAAGAATTCATATAAATCTATAAAGAAATATACTAATATCCCAATAATGAAGTAATGAACAAAGGACATAAGCAGAAAATTTGAAGTAGAGAAAATACAATGACTAGATGTTCAGCCTCACTAATGATCAGACATGTAAATTAAATGTGATTTTTTTTTCTTTTTTTTTTTTTTATGGGGCCGTGACTCGTTTTTTTTGTTTTGTTTTTTGAGATAGATTCTCACTCTTTCACCCAGGTTGGAATGCAGTTGCGTGATCTCAGCTCACTGCAACCTCCACCTCCTGGGTTCAAGCGATTCTCATGCCTCAGCCACCCAAGTAGCTGGGATTACAGGCATATGCCATCACACCTGGCTAATTTTTTTTTTTTGAGACAGAGTCTTACTCTGTCACTCAGGCTGGAGTGTAGTGTTGCAATCTCAGCTCACCGCAACCTCAGCCTCCCAGGTTCAGGCGATCGTGCTGCCTCAGCCTCCTGGGTAGCCGGGATTACAGGCATGCACCACCACGCCCAGCTAATTTTTGTATTTTTAGTAGAGACAGGGTTTCACTGTGTTGGCCAGGCTGATCTTGAACTCCTGATCTCAAGTGATCTGCCCAGCTCGGCCTCCCAAAGTGCTGGGATTACAGGTATGAGTCACCGCACCCAGGCAGTGTGATTTTTTTTTTAACTTAACGGTTTAACAAATATTGAAAAATTAGTTTACTTACTATTATCAAAACTGTTGTGGCTGGGTGCGGTGGCTCATGCCTGTAATCCCAGCACTTTGGGAGGCCGAGGCTGGCGAATCACCTGAGGTCAGGAGTTTGAGACCAGCCTGGCCAACGTGGTGAAACTTAAAAAATACAAAACTTAGCCGAGTGTGATGGCACATGCCTGTAGTCTCAGCTACTCAGGAGGCTGAGGCAGGAGAATTGCTTGAACCCGGCAGGTGGAGGTTGCAGTGAGCCAAGATTGCACTACTGTACTCCAGCCTGGGTGACACAGTGAGACTCCGACTCAAGAAAAAAAAGACTGTTGGGAGACTGTTGTGATACCCATATACACTTTTGATGGTAGTGTAAGTTGGTGATTGTATTCTATTTCCTTTGTTCTTTCATGATCCTAAATGAATGTTTCATACCTTCTCTGTCTTCAAGCATCTAATACGTTCTCCTCACTTGGTCACCCTCAGTTCATGACCTCACTTCCTATTTTACTGACAGAATGGAAGCAATGGGAAGAAAACTTTGACAAGTTCTTACCTGCTCTTCACCTCAGCTACATGAAGGTGTTACCCGCTCTGTGCCCACGTTTTGCCTGCCTCCTATTAATTGTGCATGACCTGTCCATATCCCTAAGGCCAATCCCTCTACTTATACTAGATCCCATCTCTTTTTATTTATTAAAAATTTTTTTGACTGGGTGTGGTGGCTCATGCCTATAATCCCAGCACTTTGGGAGGCTGAGGTGGATGGATCACCTGAGGTCAGGAGTTTGAGACCAGCCTAGCCTAGCCAACATGGTGAAACCCTGTCTCTACCAAAAATAAGAAAATTAGCTGGGCGTGGTACCAGCTGCCTGTAATCCCAGCTACTCGGGAGGCTGAGGCATGAGAATCACTTGAACCCAGGAGGCGGAGGTTGCAGTGAGCCGAGATCATGCCACTGCACTCTGGCAACAAGAGCAAACCTCTGTCTCAAAAAAAAAATTTTTTTTTTAAAGACAGTGTCTTGCTATGCTCCCCAGGCTGAAGCGCAGTGGTGCAATCATAGCTCAAGTGATCAATCCTCCTGCCTAAACTTCCTGAGTACCTGGGACTGTCAGGCACAACTCCCATCTCCTTTGGCCAACTTAAGAGCATCGGTTCAGCAATTCTCCCCCTTTTCCTTCTACATCCTCGATTTTCCTCTTTTTCTTTTCTTTTTTTGCTCTTTCCCAGTTGGATAAGCATGCATTTATGAAGTTTACAGATAAAACTTTTATTTTTAAAAAAATCCCTGTTGACCTCACTCTCCTCACCCAAGCTACTGCTCTATATTTCTTCTTATAGAAAAGAAGAAATAGAAATAATTCTCTTTTTCTTCTGTGGAATAGCCCAGAGCTCCATTCTGGTTCCCTTCTGTTTTCTTTTCTGGTTTGTTTTTGAGTAAGGGTCTCATGTTGCCCAGGCTGGAGTGCAGGGGGGTGATCATGGCTCACTACAGCCTTGAATTCCTGTACTCAGTTGGTCCTCCTGCATCAGCTTCTTGAGTAGCTGGACTACAGGCACATACCATCACGACCAGCTAATTTTTTCTGTATTTTTTGTAGAGATGGGATCTTACCATGTTGCCCAAAGTGGTCTTAATCTCCTGGGCTCAAGCGATCCTCCCACCTCAGCCTCCCAAAGCGTTGGGATTATAGTCGTGAGCTACCATGCCCGGCCTCTTCTCTTTTCTGTCACTACATGTGATTGATTTCATATAGTCTTATGACTTTAAATGCCATCTGTCCATTGATGACTCCTAAGTTTTATGTCTTCAGCTCTGACCTCTCCCTTGAACTCCAGATTCTAATCTCCGCCTACTCAATATCTTCATTTACATGTCCAATAGGCATCTCAAAGTTATATGTTCAGGTAGAAATTTCTGATCATCTCCCTAAACCTGTCCCTCCCACAGCCTTCCTCATTTTTGTTGAGGGCAACTTCGTCCTTCTATTCTCTCTCTCTCTCTCTCTCTCTCTCTCTCTCCCTCCCTCTCTTACTCTCTTTCTCCCTTTCTTTTTGTTTTGTTTCTTTTCTTAATAGAGTCTCGCTCTGTTGCCCAGTTTGGAATGCAGTGGCACAATCTCAGCTCACTCTAACCTCCACCTCCCAGATTAAGCGATTCTCCTGCCTCAGCCTCTCCCGAGTAGCTGGGACTACAGGCGTGTGCCACCACATCCAAGTAATTTCTGTATTTTTAGTAGAGACGGGGTTTCACCATGTTGGCCAGGCTGGTCTCAAACTCCTAAGCTCAAGGGATCCACCTGCCTTGGCCTCCCAAAGTGCTGGAATTACAGGTGTGAGCCACTGCACTCGGCCCATCCTTCCATTTTCTCAGGCTAAAATCCTTGGGAGTCATCCTGACGTCCGCTCTCTCTACCATATCCCGCCTGCACCTTATTTGTCAGCAGATAGCATCAGCTCTCCCTTCAGAATATACCCACTTCTTACCATTTGCACTGCTACTACCCTGGCCAAGACAACATTATTTCTTGCCTGGATTATTATAATAGCTTACTAATTGTTGGTCTTCTACTTACACTCTTCCCTCCAGCTCCATTTTATTCTCAACATAACAGCAGAGTGATTCTTTAAAAAAAACTGAGATCCTGTCACTTCTCTATTCAGAATCCTTGGCTGGACACGGTGGCTCACACCTTTAATCCCAGCACTTTGGGAGGCTGAGGCGGGCGGATCACTTTAGGTCAGGAGTTCGAAACCAGCCTAGCCAACATGGTGAAACCTTGTCTCGACTAAAAATTAAAAAAAAGAAAATAGCCAGGTGTGGTAGTGCATGCCTGTAGCCCCAGAGATTTGGGAGGCTGAGGCAGGAGAATTGCTTGAAGCTGGGAGGCAGAGGTTGCAGTGAGCCGAGATCGTGCCGCTGTACTCCCTCCTGGGGGCAGAGTAAGAATCTGTCTCAAAAAAAAAATTCCTCCAATGGCTCTTCATGTCACTCCCCAATCCTTACCATGGCCTACAAAGCCCTATACTGCCTGCCCCGCTCTCATATCTCTGATCTCTTTCTTTCTTTTGCTCTTAGAACCTTTGCACTTATCATTCTCTCTACTTGGAATACTTTTTCTTCTTTCATAGCTATTTCTTCACTCCTGAAGGTTTTCTAAAATTTCATTCTCAATGAGGCTTTTCCTGATCACCCTACAAAAGATCATATGCACACACTTCTGCAGTAGGGATTGTCTAGAAAAAAATTATGTGCACACACATACTTGCATTCCCTAGCTGCTTCTCTACTCTTTTCTCCGCAGTACTTATCTACATCTAGTACACTATACATTTTTTTTTTTTTTTTNGTGGCTCATGCCCATAATCCCAGCACTTTGGGAGGCCGAGGCAGGCAGACTGTTTGAGGTCAGTAGTTCAAGACCAGCCTGGCCAACATGGTGAAACCCTGTCTCTACTAAAAATACCAAAATTAGCCGGGCATGGTGGTGGGTGCCTGTAATCCCAGCTACTTGGGAGGCTGAGGCAGGAGAATCTCTTGAACCCAGGAGGCAGAGGTTGCATTGAGCCAAGATTGTACTACTACACTCCAGCCTGGATGACAGAGGGAGACTCTGTCTCCAAATATATATATGTAAGCATCACAAAAACAGAAAAAATAATATATGGTAAATCACCATTGTAACATCTTCCAGATCCAGCAGTTAACCAATATTTTGCCACACATTCTGGGTTTTGTTGTTATTGCTAATGCTTTTTAAAGCAAATCCCTTTCACATTCTTCAGTATGCATCTCTTAAAATACTTGGGTGTTTTCTTACATAAGCATAATGACATTATGAC